TTAATATTCCAAATTGCTCTCTTCTTTCCTTTGCGGATGACACTGTTCTCTTCTTTTCTAGTGATTCTTGGCGTGATGTCTTTCTAAATGCACAATCTGGATTTGATATGGTTTGCGAATGGCTAAACAATAACCGTCTCACACTTAATGTTCAGAAGACCAAATATATCATTCACTCTATAAGAACGGTTGATCTGCCAAGTGAGGAATCTCTATCAATTACTGCACATACCTGTTGGGGTACAAACTCTTGCTGTTGTTCGTCCATCGAGCGAGTTAATGAAATTAAATATCTTGGAGTTTTGCTGGACAGCAATTTATCTTTTAAACTCCATATCAATGTCCTTGCTGCAAGAATTCGCAAACTGATCTATATTTTCAAGTCACTTAGGACAGTAACTGATTCATCACTCCTCAAATCCATTTACTTCTCTCTTTGTCAATCCTTGATTCTGTATTGCATTACATCCTGGGGTGGCGTTCCTAAGACAACTATACTCCCACTGGAGCGTGCCCAACGCGCAGTTCTAAAAGTAGCTACATTCAAGCCGTTTCTGTTTCCTACCGATGCCTTATACTCATTCTGCGAAGTTTTATCAGTACGTAAATTATTCATCTTATATACATTAATACACCAACATTCCAAACTACCTTTAGATCCTTATAAAGGAGAGGTTCGTCGCAACAAATTGATTTTCAAGAGTAAACTATTTAATAAATCTTTTAGCAAACGATTTCTACTTTTTCTAGGTCCTTTTATTAATAATAATGTAAACCGGAGGTTGAATATATATTCACTAAATTATTGTAATCTAAAACGCATACTCACTCAATTTCTTCTTGCACTGACTTATGAAGAAACTGAGAAGATGTTACTACACATGACTTGATTCCTTACTCGTCTTGCATGAAAATTATTTACAAAATAAAACTAAATTGGTTCTAATTCTTGTTAAAAAAGTGTTTTTTTTTTTTTGTTTGTTAATGTAACTTAAATTTTCGTTTTTCATTTAAAATCATATTTTCTAATCAATGTGGTATCTTGTAAATTTACTTTATTGTGTCACTGGAAGAGAGTGGGTACTTAAGTCACAGGGTTTTCCTATTTTAAGTACCCACAGATCCTTAGTTTTAAAATATCCTGTGCCTGTATTTGTAAAACCATATTGTATAAAAAATTTGGGAATAAATTATTATTATTATTATATTATTAAAAATTTGATTTGGGTTTGACTCTTTTAGATACAATCGGAGCATGCTTATCCATAAGAGACAGTATTGAATCTGTGAACCATACTATCAACCGTAGGTTGCTTAGAAACAGACTCCTAATCGATCAAGTCAAGATCGTAAATCGCTCAAGATTAATGCGCTTGAGGGGTTAAAGTAACATAACGCAGAGACACTTTGGCCTTTTTTAACAATAGTGAGACACTGACCATTCCGTGACCAAAAGGAGGAGAGATATTAGAAACAGTAAAATCGCGAATGCTGCAATTTGTGCACACCACATCTAGTAAAATTTCAGAATTTACAGAAAAATGTGTAGGTTCATTTACCACCTGCTGCAAATCCAAACTTCCCAGGAAATCATTTATTTTAGAGACATTACAATTAGATCTATCCATCATGTTGATGTTAAAGTCACCCATGAGGACAATATAATCACATTGCGCAAAACTTGAGATCGATTCAAAGGTGTCAACACTGAGCCAAGGAGGTCTATATGCCGTTCCTATAACAACTCGAGACCATTTACCTGAGTGCGTAACCACATTTGCTCAATACCCACATCAGGATGCCTCAGAAAATGTACACGCAAGCCCCGCTTGTAATAAATAGCAACGCCACCACCCCTTCCTTTACGCATACACTTTGGCCGGGGCACATTACGCATGCGGTAGCCCGGTACGGTAGGCGCACGTGCCTCCTAACCTGCTTGTAACCAAGTCTCGTTAATGGCAACAATGTCTGCGTCAACACGATTCATTGCTATAAGGAAGTTATCATGATCTGTATTTAGTGATCCTGCATTATGAAGAGCTAATTTTAGAAACTTAGTTTTGTTTACCATTTTTATAAATTATAATATACAGGGTGAAATTGAATGTTTCTATGAAACTTCGTGAGATTGTTGGGTTACGTGTATAGAGTATGCCTGATTTTTTTCGGATTTTTTAAAATAAAATTTTCGTTTTTTAATTTCTTATTTGGTTATTTTTTTGTCATTTCTTCCTTATGAGTAATTATTCATTTTAAACACGTCTACATAGAAGTTATAAAGCAACTTAAAATAAGCACTACTAAAAAAACGGAAACTTAATGAATGCCTTCATTATGCCTCCAGTCGAGATCAGCGCCGGTCGGGGCGACGACCGGCAGCCGCCTGTGTAGGTACCTACTACACGCGCAGATGACTCGGCGCTTATCTACTCTCCGCTTTGATCCACACTATTAAAAAACATTACAATAAAATAGTCTTAGATGCTATATTATAATTATTTATTCACTGATACACAATACCTTTGAATATTATTTCATAAAGCACAGGTAATTAATCAATAAAAAAAATCTTCTGTTAGAGCAATTAAAAATCCTATAAAGTTAATATGACTGTCACGTTTTTTAATCGGTAAAGCCTGTCTGTTAGTGTAAGTACTTCTTTTTTATTGTTAATGTTAGTTGCCTCGTTTAATTAAAACTTAAGCACAAACGGCTTATTTAAAATTGGGGAAAATCATACAGAGCAAATCGGTATAACTTACGAGCTTAGTGAAGGAAGGAACTCTTCGTGTCTGATTTGCCCACGTCATGAAATTCCCAACACATTTAATCACAGCCACAGTCACACCCACACACACACACATAACAATATGTTGTTTTGCGGCAAGCACGGGCGGGCGGCGCGCCGCACGCTGGCAACTAGCGCCGGTTGCGGCGTCTTTGATGATGTGAATTCCGCCCACCTCCCCTCTTCCCCGCACGCGGTGGTTTGCTTTGATTGCATGCAAAACGCAGTCGCAAGTATATCAATCGCGCGTGGGCGTGCGCATAATTTCATCATGCCTCGGTATACGAACCAAGAATATTTAGAGATGGTGTACTGCTATCGCGAGTGTGACGAAGTAGGTTTGGTTTACGAATGAGTCCCCAAACCGTAGAAGTTGCATTTTGTGCAGTGAGTAGTGATAGGGACACTTTAAAAAAGGTGAAAAGACACGTCCGCAAACATGCCTACCTTTGTTTGCAGCAAAATGGTGGTTTCGATCAACAATTTTGCAGATAATAATTTAAGTCTCTTTTTATTGCTAGTGTAAATACTTTTTGATTAGAAACAACTAATTGTGTACTACCAGTGTGATTGATTTGATAAAAAGTTCTAATGAAAAAAATGAATATGTTCCTCGTTCCTCGTTGTACCTACCTACATCGCCGGTCTCGTAAGTACTTTTGAATACCTGGTTATAAATTTCATTCTGACCCAAGTATTGAACTGCAATAAGTATTTCTTTTTGTTTAACATTTGCCTATTTCAGGGATCAGATATTCACAAACATAATTTGTACGAACATCTTTTACGTGTTAATAAAAAGCGTATGTGGGATATATCAATAAGGCTAAAATATGATCTCTAAACAAGCTATAGCTAAATACAGAAATAACTATTATACATGCAAAACCATCAAGCAAAGCATATTTGACGCTAGTATAGTTATAAGAAAAAAATACATTAATTAAATTATTATTCAAAAGAGTTGAAATATTTTTTTTTATAAAATAATTTCTACTGATATTTTTCAAAAGTGCTAAAATATCACACAAGTTGCAATAGCAAATTACGAAACTAATTACTATCCATGCAAAATCAAGAAGCAAAACATATTTATAAGCAAAACAAAAATAGCTATACCGAAAAATAGAATTATCTAATTTCATAATCATAATAATTGAGATAAAATATTTATAAGCATAATTCGCATGTGCATTTATTATGTATTCAGGAAAAGCATATTTGGCATAAAAGTAAACTGCATTGGGACTAATCATTGACAATAGAACGAACTGCATCCAGGTCAAAAACACTATTCAGATCCTCTTCTGTTTGTATACGTAAGTTTGGAGCCTCTACGCCCTGGCGCTGTCTCACAAATATGCGGCCATTCTTCGTCCACACATAGCGCCACTTGAAACGTTTCCCCAGTTCCCGAGCTCGTCGAAATAATAACCTGTTTCTTTTTTGTGAGTCTTTCGTTTACATAAAATCGGAGCGGGGTGCCTGGAATGTTCGTATCCTCAGTAGTGGCATCACGGCGTACGCGAGCGGCCTTTAGGAGATTGTCGCGCACGGCTCGCCGCGCCAACCTCACTACTATAGGTCGAGGGCGGGATGATTCGGATGACTCAGTTGCATCTATAACACGGCCGATACACTCAGAACTAACGACGTCCTGTTCCACCAGATCAACACCCAACTTCTTAGCTAAGACGGTGACAATATGAGTGAGACTCTCCCCTTTCTGCTCTGCAATACACGTGATTTCGATGTCATTCAGCAGAAGGTCCTGGTCGCGTTCATTAAGCTCGGCTTTTAGCTGCTCCATACAGGTAGTTAGAGATTTGTCTACTGTTTCACTGGCGACGCGGCTTTCCAAATCATTAAGTCGCTCGCCAAACTTAGTAATCTGACTTTCACAAACGGTTAATCTATTAGACAGTGCACCAAGAGTCTCATTAATGCGCTCCATAATGAAAACGATTGAGTCGTGATTCCTCTCGTAATTCATCTCTGAAGGTACGCATTTCCAATGCAAATAAGTGAGAGGTATCATTAAGAACCGATTGTGCCCCCACGGACATATTCAGGTCTATAGGGCTTTTAGCAGCAGCTCCACACTGCTTAGTGACGCCGCAGTCCACAGCTGCTCGAACAGGGGTGTTAGAATTGTCTGTTTTTGGCTCTTTACTCTTACAAAGGACACATCTCCAGGCGTCTCTGTGTTCTTTAGTGAGCGTGTTATAGAAACGCTGTTCCGAGACGTTAGCGCAGTCTAGGTCGTAGCACTGATCACAATCTCCACAATATAAATATTTCCTATCAGGAATTGTTTGCCGACATCCACCACAAATCATTTTGTCACCCTCCATAGCTGAGCTACTATGAATTAGTTGCAGTAAGACGACACGCCACAGAAATAACAAAAATTTACCAATTTGGGGAAAGTTTCACTATGTGGCAACACTTTGGGCTTATCAAAGTGAAAACTGACGTTATTATTTGAATATGACAGCTTCGATACAGTTGTCAAAATGAAACTGACAGGTTGTCAGTTGAAATTGACATTAAAATAGCGTGTGAGGGTATTCAATAACACTATAATTTATAAAAATTTTTGCGGGTGAAAAAATGCCACTTATCTTGTTCAATATCTTTCTTATCCTTTACTTTTTCCCCTGGATAACAATTGTGTAGCTTTGTTGAAGGATGCACTGCACTACACAAACACTTTGACTTGAAAATTCGAGAAGTTATTTAATTTTTGAAAATAGAATTACGTACGAAGTATGAACAGTGGCAGGGTTGCCAGATCTATCTCAATTATATGATTAAATCGCCCATCCAAAGACTTAAATTGATTTTAATTTAAAAAAAAATCATCGCAAAACATTGACTTGATGCCTCCCTATAATAAATGATAGTTAAAGTATTTTCCAAAATGTTTTTATCAAAATCACAGTAGACACCATAGAGACGAAGTGGTAAGGCAAAAATATAATTATTCAAAGAGAATATAAATAAAATAATGACAAAAATTTTGTGCCTCGAGAGTGTGAAAAGTGCGAAGAGTGAATTCTATTAGATTTAGAGGATATTGAGCTAATATTTCATACGTTCAATTTCAAAAACAAATTAGATATGGCTGGCAAAATTACAGACCGAAAAGGCAAAAACAAAGAACCTAAATCAGGAGCCAGTGAATTGTCCGATAATTTAGCAACATTCGCTCTTCCCGACAGTCTACCTTGCTCCGAAGTAGATTTCCCTATACTGATAAGGAAGAAAAACTTGGCAAACTGGAAAACTATTTTGGAAGAAACTGACCAACAATTTCACGAAATTGAAAAATTCAATGATAGCAAAAAAGAACCGGTCCCGAAATCACCGTTTATTAGTAACTACTCATTACAAGCAATTAGTTATTGAAGCCTTTACCTATGGGCATTACATAATACTTTATCAGTCGCCGAATCGAATGTACACACAATTTGTAGCTCCAATATTTTGCATGTTGATTGGGCTTACATTAATCGGCAAACTGATGATTACCTAATCACTACTAATATTATCCTCATTGTTCTGTAGCCTATAATATAAAAGTACTCTACATGAGCCAACAACAATTTTTAAAAACTTAGCTTGTGACCAATAAAACATACACGCTTAGATTACAGAACGAAAGTGCCTTTTGTTAAAAATAAAAGCCATATTAAAAGGAAATCGTGCAAGATTTGCAATTGTTCCTTAAGCCTATCACAATTTAATACTTGATTAATTAATTTAACAATAGCAGAGAAGAAAATAACACTACACTAGTGTCAACAGTATTTTAAAGACTTCTAGGCTTTTATTTTGATTGCAGTATTAGCTTTTCTTCTTTCTTATTATCAACGCCATCTATGGTTCTTTATCAAATCTAAATAGGCACTCATATTTAGAAGAACAGCACGTTACCTAACTGGTAAGTAGTGATGTGCCGATTCGATCCTTTTGCTAAACGATGTATCGATTACGATTATCATCGTAATCTATTATTTAATCGATAATGGACGATTTATTTAATATTTTATCCAGAAAGTTTAAGTTAAAGACCGATTCTATTGTTTTGTCAGAAAATGTACCTGAGTACATGATGAGAAACAAATAATAATTAGAAATAAAACAATTAAAAATATGAAAATTTAAGTTTATTATTTTGAAAAAATGGAAACGTTTCGTTTTACATACGTTTCCAAGTAATTTATTATTTAAAAATATTCTGCAAGCAGTTCTTGTGCGTAATGTATGTATCACTTACTTTTCACTATTTATTTCATAGGAGAAGAACAATGCCTTCAAATCATAAATCATGTATGACTCTCTGACAATACTCCTGAAAATAATATCAAGATGGAATAAAACATGAAAGTGGGTTAACGGTTGAGGGATCGTTTTCTTAAATAAACAGAACTGAAAAATCTTAAGTCACTTAATTAGTGAACCAGCCGCTATTTAAGTACTAATATTTCGCCACTGGAACGGGTTTTATAATCCACACACACCACATACTTAGGGGAAAATCGGCTCAGTTGACAACACTTTGAAAAACAAAGATTCTATTCGTTCAATAATTCGCTGGGAGTTCTCCGTCCCAATACTGCCAACAAACTACTTTGTCAGGGGAAACCCTTTTTTTTAATTTAAGTGTTGCTATTATAAATTACAGAAAAAATCCACAATGTTGTGGGAAATGATCGATAATTTACGATCATATTCATAATCGATTGCAACTAATGTTTAGAAAAATCGATTAATTGATTACTGATAATCGATTCCGCACATCACTATTACCTATGCCTATAAAAGATACAAGTTACAAATATATGTCAGCACAAGGTAGAGTCTATGCGGAAAGAGAATGGGATTTAGATTGGAGGGCGCTGTAGTGCTTTTCTACCGTATTTGTGCGGTTTTTTCCCCTTTTAGACATGATTAAATACAAAAAACCGCAAGAAATCACAACAACAAACAAATCCGTATCAATACAAAACTTTGACAGATTGCTGGGTTCCATTGCTAATTAAAAATCTTAATGTTAGTTCCGTTTTTCACCACGCCCATTCTATATCCGCACAGACTACAAGTTTTGTTTTATTTGCAAGTTAAAATGAAATAAACAAACTTTATTCCAATCGTTTTATTTAAAGTTCCAATTTAAAGTTGCAATAATTACAAACAACCAATAAAATCAACCTGAGTACCAAACTGATTTCAATAACTAGGTATTTAGTATGCTAATTTCATCAGTTTACCGAACCTCACTTGGGAAACTACAGGGCTCTGTCATAGTAAGTCATTAAATAGCTGTAACCCATGCTATAGGTACCTAAGTATTTATTCACATTTTGATGTCTGAAAAATATTATTATAATGGTGCAGTTGAATCTGCCATAATAACTGACTGGCTTTGTGTTTCAGAAACTGAATGCGATTATATAAAAAATGAAATATTTGTACATCTACTGCCTGCTTTAGAAGAAACTCTTAATAAAGCAAAGATATGGCAAGCTTTACAAAGGCAAAACTGTTTCTTCAATGGTATAGATCATATTGTTCAGGTGAGATAGATTCCATGAGTAAAAAGTTTGCAATCAGCGGTCCAAGCACGAATTTTAACAGCTCCGCAATCGTATCGCATCGTCAAAGCTTCTTTGAAAACTAAACAGCGCCCTCTAAAAACAAACTACTGTAAAAACAAACTACCTTTATTCATACCATGGAGGTAAGAGGAAAGAGGACGATCGCTACGTACTAAAGCATTAGCCCGCCTGTCCCTGAAAATTTGTAGAATTTATAGTTCAATTTTTAGGCACCAGCCGCGCTGCCGTCGGTAAGTAGTATTGTGAAGTTAGCTGTTTATGATTACGAGTAGATGAACTTACTTGAATATTGTACAAATTTTCTTCGCGGCATTGGTCATTTCAAATTAGCCCGCTTTTACTGAGACAACTTAGCGATCGCAGCGCCTCACTTATTTTGTCCATATTTCTGGGACACTATTTTCTACAGCGATCGTTCTCCTTTCCTTCAAACCTTCATGATTCATACAAAATTTGGCGTTGATGATATGATTACGAAGCTGTCAAAATTCGTGCTTGGGCTTTAGTTTTCATACGTGTATCCGGAGAAGATAAATAGGCGTACTAGGAGGCCAGTTAATTTTAATTCCTTAGTAAGTTGCATGTTGTCTTAGTATTTTGTTATCGCGAAAAAAAGTACCTCATTAATACTTACCTACTCCAACTTAAAACTGTCGCTTTCAAATGCATGGTCAAAGAAGTAGTCCTGTTCGGCCTCTTGTTTAAAAAGTGTAACGCAGACCGGCCTCTGTTTATTTTTGTCAGAGCAGTCGTGTATAATTTTATATTTTTTCTAGATGCTCAGTTCAAAGTTTTACTACTATTTTTACATGGCAGTCATCATTATATTTTCATATCTGCCTCTTACAGATTTTATGGAACAACAATCCTCGCTACCCAGAGCGACAAGGCAAAAACTTACATTTATTCAACATGCCCTGGGTCCGCCAATATCTAAAAGAGAAGTATAACAATCTATTTTTCATATTACTTAAGCCTATTCTAGACGGATGTAAACACGCGGTCGTAATCCAAGGACGTTGAAGGTCAAATCAAAATTTGGATTACATCCTTCGTCTAGATGGATGGCAACGGGCAAGGTCACCTTGGTTGGTACGCTAGATTACATCCGTCTAGAATAGGTCTTACAGTGCCACTAACGAAAAAATGCGATCCTGCCGATTTATGGCGACAGAATTAAGCTTTATTTCCGAACCTCTTTTTTTTACTACATTGAAAGTGTACTGTACCCTTAGCACAAACTAATATTGTACGGAAGATTTTTTAATTCTCGTTACATCCGCTGTGGCGCTGTTCAAACTTCCATAAAAATCTCTATGACATTTGACGCGTATCGAGATCGAATTCAACTATTCGAAATCGAATTCGATATTGGTCAGTACTATTTTGTTTACTTATGAAACTGCCACGACCTGTCAGGAACGCATTCTTTCGTTAGCCACACTTTAAGGACCGCCTTCGCCAGCATATCAGAGAAAATCAGGTCGATATTATCACTGAGCAAATACAAAGAGAAGAAGCTGTATTCAATGGTAGCACAGCTTCTACCGATGTTGCACTGTCGGCACTCGTTAATAGTTCTAGCCAATCAGCCCCAGCGACGCTGACAATATCAGAAAACAATATCACTGAAACTCCATTGAGACGCGATTAGTAAAATTTTTCAGGCATCTATCTAACATTTTATCAGGCATAATGTAACATATACACTGAAAAGCCGTTAGTCCCGGTTGCATCTACAGTTGTTAGCACTTACCAATCCACAACGGATCCGCGTGATGGATCATGCTCCGTTAATGTCTTCTAAGATTCTTTTAAATAAGGATTGACAACAAATCTAGTGAGAAGCGCGGTCTTTATTACAACCTGAATTAATTTTGTCAGAAATATTACATTTTTCTTATTCAAAGTGTATGATTGCAACCAAAACATGGATATTAATTACGTCAATTTGACCTTCAGTCCCAGACCGCTTTACCCGAAGTCTTGGTTATGGCCAGAGGAATACGCTGCTACAATGATACAGAAAACAGTCAGGCAATATTTTGTTCAGAGAGAAGAGGAAGTTCAGGAAATGCGTGATTTCTGGAAGGTCTGTAGTGCTTTCCTAAAGTCAAGTATCCTATGTCAATTTTGCTATCTGAAAATTAGTAGTTACATGACATTCAATCCATAATTCTTTCCGTGTAGTATTGATTAGAACTTACGGCTTAAAGTGCTTTATATTATTTTTCTCAAATTTAATTGTCTTTCGCCCACTATGAAAATCAATTATTTTTAGCGCGCAACAACATAATCGACTTTATTTATTTTTAGGATTCTTTAAGTGACCCAGATTCATTTCTCTCGAGTGTATATGTGCTACGGCTTTTATGAAAATCTTTTATGAAATACTTTCACACTTGTATTTTTATATGTGGATTTCCTTTACAGAAACTCGAATTGGAACGCAACATCCCCGATATGGAAACCAATCCATTTTTGGCCAAAAAGTTTGCTTCAGTACAGAATTTTCGTAAATGAACACTACATTCATTTAATTAAAATGTTCTTTTTTATTATTATTGTTACCTTCTAATTACAAAGCCACACTAATTATATAAACAAAAACTACCGAATACTTGTTATTTTACTTGAGAGGTACTCCCTCATAAAGGGATGGACTTGCAGGCTTGCCTAAACCCATTGTGAACTCAACAGTCGGCTGCTCACCAGGTTGGGCAACTCTATTCACTCTATTCGGGCTTTGGTTGTAACTGATTGGCATTACCAATTCTTTCATAACCTGCAACAAACAAATTTTGTCAATAGAATCAGAGGTAGTGAGCTAAACATTTTAATCACTAATCTTGTTATTATAATTTAAGGTTGTATAAAATTTTGTATGGAAACTTGAACAGAAGCGCCACAGCGGACGTAACGAGAACTAAAAAACAGTACATATTCGACGTATATTTAGATCAACTATACGAATTCGATAATGATTCGTTCTATGGGTACTGGGTACCGACGCAATGAGAACTAAAAATCACGTTACGAATTCGATTTAACCGATATCAAATTCGAATAGTTTTCGAGTCCGAAATGTCATTGTCAAATGTGTACTGATTTTTAGTTCTCGTTACGTACTTTGTGGCGCCACTATTCAAGTCTCCATACAAAATATGACATTGACATTTCGCACTCGCAAACTATTCGAATTCGATTTTGGTTCGTGCTAAGGTTACTGTTCTGTCTCGCTCGCTCCATTGAATGTTTATTTTCAGAAGTGTGCGTGTATGAGAGTTGCTTTATGTAGTTCAGTCGGAGCATATTTTATTTGATGCTATACTTCATTCCAGGTCCTCTAGCATGACCACCGAAACGCTATATGATAAAGCGATATATCGGCATTAACTGTCAGACTACAGTGGAGTTTGACAGTTGAGCCTCGATATATCGCTTTATTATATCCCGTTTCGGTGATCATGCTAGAGGGGCTAGTAACATTAAAAAGAAGTAAAAAAACGGTTCTTTTTTAAGTGCACATTTCAAACTCATTATGGTAATAAATGTTTAATTACGCTTTTGCCAATTTATGCATAAAATATACAAGCACAGCCATCTGAACAATTACCTATATAAAAACTATTTTTTGACGAAACAAAAAGTAAGGGTGTTTAATGATAACAAAGCTGGCGAAATTATGAAGTTAGTTAATGTTATTAGGAATTAAGTATAGTATAAGCGAATTGTATCTTCCCTCTTTGTTTTAATCTTAGTGATCCACCCATTTATTGCTTCATTGTAGACTATAGATTTAATTCTTGGGCTTATATATTATTATCACTATTGACGCCCTAGTGGCTTAGTGGTTTGTACGCCGGGTCTCAAGGTATCGCCTACTTGAGAGGTCCCGGTTTCGAATCCCGGTGGGGGCAGATGTTTGTATGATGAACCGACATCTGCTAAGATATTTGAAACAGCTATGGCTAATAAAATTATAGCATTTTTAGAAAAGTTTAAAGTTCTTCACAAAAATCAATATGGTTTCCGCAAAAACAAAACAACCACTCTAGCCGTCTATAAGTTATTACAAAAAGTTTTTGATATAATTAATAATAAGAAACACGCAATAAGCTTATTACTCGATATGAGTAAAGCGTATGATAGAGTAAATTACAAAATTTTACTTGATAAACTCTACGGGCTCGGTATAAGGGGACTAGCATTTGAGTGGTTTAAATGTTATCTTCGGAATCGACACCAGAGCGTAGAAATACAAAATGTCAACTTCGAAACTGGAGAAATTAGACATATCAGATCTGATTTTACCCCTATCACCGGATCAATACCACAAGGTAGCGTTCTAGGTTGTATACTCTTTCTGATATACGTGAATGACCTGTCAGATTCAATTCCTTTTGATAATGTGCTTTATGCAGATGACGTTTCAGTAGTCTTTTCCTGCACAAGCACTGATTCACTTAAAGTAAAATTGGACGCGACATTAGATTCGCTTACAAAATGGCTAGAGTGTAACAATCTACAGCTTAACCTGGAGAAAACTAAATTAATGGAATATAGACCTCATCAAAAGACCCCATTAAACATCAACTACAAATACAAATCCAACAAATTAGAAACTGTATACTCTGCAACCATGCTAGGGATAGAGCTAGACTCGCATTTAAACTGGAAACCACTTACTCAAAAGCTAACAACTCGATTGTCCTCTCTCGTATATGCACTGAGACAGTTGAAACGCAGTACTAACCTTAATACCACCCTTTCTGCATATCACGCATTTGTCCATTCCAGGCTGACCTATGGCATTATATTGTGGGGTAACTGCACGGATATTCATGATGTTTTTGTCCTCCAGAAAAAAATTATAAGAATACTTGCAAATATAAAACAGACAGACTCCTGCAAACCATACTTCAAAAAGTTTAAAATACTTACCATAACATGCCTATACATCTCTGAAGCCTGCAAGTTTGTGAGAAAACATATCGAATTATACTCCCCAGTAAAATTAGTAAGACGTAATGATCGCTACCAGAATAAACTGAAGCTCCCGTTTTCAAACTTGAAATTGGTATCTAATTCTCCACACTCCATGATAATTAAAATTTATAATCACATACCCAACAATATTAAAAATTTGGAAAACGATACAATTTTTGAAAAATGTCTAAAGGAATATCTTATTAATAAATCATATTATAATATATTAGAATTTTTCCAAGATAAACATATTTGATATATAATTTTAATGAAGTAATAAAAAAAAAATTGCATGACATACCTCTATATTATATTAAAAATTCTGAGTGTGAAAATTGTATATTAATATCTATAGTTTTTAAATTGTAAAATATATGTATTTTTTAATTTTAATTTTGGTAAGATGCGTGTTTAATAATTGAATTGAATTTTTTTATAATATATTTGATTGTTTGTTTAATTAATAATAATAATTTAAGTAAAATTGCAACGCCCTTGCAGGGTGTCACATGTTTGTACAGGTTATGATAATGTTGTTTTTTGTACTATCTGTGGCATGCAATAAGAATAAATAAATAAATAAATAAATAAATAAATGAATACGAGCATTTGTACTCCAGTCATGGATGTTTAATACGTATTTTTATATCAATATACTTATATATGTATCAGTATATGTATTCTATCCGTTACTCTAGTATCCCATAACACAAGCCTACAGTGCTTGCTTTGAGGCTAGGCTTATTGGTGTGTGTTACAAATATTTATTATTTATTACTGATCAGAGTACGTATATTGAATTGAGGTCAACAATCCAAAACATACATATTTATAAAGGAGATTGCTCAGCTTCCATACATGTTTGGCCTAAAGACCAATAATCATGAAAAACTGTTTCCTAGATTCGAAATTATATATAAATTACTGTAGAAACGAATATTATTGACGGACACCCCTGAGAACTTCTATAAACCATATACACACTGAACATATTAAAATAATTAAAAACAAATAAGTTATATAGTAAACTAGGGAAATCAAGCCAAGTACCGAAATTATGGATTAGATTCAGGTATATAGAGCATGTAGATTAACAGATAGTTGCCTGTTTTTATAGTTAATGCATAAGAGTAACTTGAATTGACAGAAACTGTGTGATGATTGTGAATGAGCCACAGATTAGAGAGAATTTTTAAACTCTAGTTAACCAAAGAAAGCTAAGAGATTTAGGTTCTATAGCCGTATATTCAGTAGCTTCATTATTTTTGTTATGTTTTTAAGATAACCATATTTTAGATTTTTAGTGTATCACACCTTATAATTTTATTTTTTTACTTATTTATAGTCACGGAACGTAGGCCCATAGATAAATACCTTAAAGTCTAACATATATACAGATTATACTGTGTTTATGGAGGTGTTTGGCGAAAAATGTATGGCAATAGACTTTATGATGTCGCCTACCATCTATAATAATTGTCTGAGCACATTTGCATCTAGTGAAAATGATAATATATTGGTGGATATTAATACCACAGTGTAATAAAAAAAAATGATTTATTTTATTGATCTTTACAAAATAGATTTGTTTTTATGTTATATAAACAACTTCGATCAGTCTTTGGCTGAATGTTACTACACCCATAGCCATTAAAAATGATTCGTATGTTTTCCAAACCTTATATTATACAAAGGTGTCCGTTGAAATCTAATGACTGTAAATTAAATTATAAATTACGCCAATAATTACCGTGTATGTCAATATTTTTTGTGCATTTAGGCCAATTTGAGCAATCTCCTTTTGTGTCCAATTTTCATCTTTAGATGGTAATTAATAGGGTATTTGACAGTATTAAAAATGAAGTGCTGATTGTTAGCATCTGTATTTAGAATTAATATTGGTAGAGGTTTTTATTATTATTACAGAAAAAATATTCATAATTTTACTAAAAACCCACGAAAAAGATAATAGTTTTCATATCTCTTGACACGTGATTAAAATGACGTCACACACTAGTAAACTTCCGGTCAAAGTGACAATGACAGTCGTGTGACGTCACACAACAGTGAGACGCCATATTGCCCAGAGAAACGTTTTCGCGGCAACTTGAAAATTGAGTTTTTGATTTACTTATTTTTACTGAAATACACAAGAGAATGTTGAATATCCTTTATGGACTCCATAAACATTAGTAAGTAACGTGAGATCGTTTTCCAAAACTTGTCAAATACCCTATTATACACCTTATTTTATGTGGCGATCGAACAAAAACGCACAAATAAAATTTCGAATGTGGATTTTCAGCATTAGCGCATTGGAGATGGAACAATATGACTGTTTAATTTGTGCGTGCTTATTTGTTACTAGCGGCCGCCCGAGGCTTCGTACGCGTGGAGAAATAAAAGTTCACTGCTCGTTCCCCGTAGGTGATAGCGTGATAATATGTAGCCTATATGTTTTACCCAACTTCTTAATAATATTCGTGCCAAATTTGAAGTAAATCCATGCAGTACTTTTTGAGTTTATCCCGAACATACATACAGACAAAAATTCTAAAAACTATATTTTTGTTATGGATTGGTGATCACACCCCAAGTATTCTTTAGAAAAAATGTACAGTTTTTACTTTCCTACCATTTTATTATATGTATAGATATGTCCAGCGTTCTGTGACCCTTGGTACCGCACCCGTCCCAGGGACGCAGAACGCTTCGAATTAGCCCACTTCGGATGAGCCATGGATATCTGCTGCACGATATCAGTCTGCAGAGCGTTCAGGCAAAGGGTGAGCAGGGTAGGCACAGAGAGCACTACCCCCACGAGATAGCCGTGAGTTTGTACTGGCGGCATCATACCTGCATTGCACGAGCTCTATGGATATATATGCCTCCGATACTCGGGGACATTGCAAATCAGGATGGTTCCAGTAACGGACAAACATGGCATAGCTTTGAATAATTTCGATTCCCAGGGCTAAAGTACTCATTCTGGGGACCTCAATCTTCAAAATGTCCCTTGATGACCCGGTACGGAGGTAGTTGGTACGGCCCTGCTCATTACGCCAAGCCCTGAGCTGAATAAAATGAGCGAGGAGTCCTCACATATCTTAAATATTGCAACCTCCGTTAACGAGGGAGGCGTCACTTATTTCCCAGACCAAAAAAGGGGCTTCACGGCGTCGCACAGTGTTTTAAGAACCTCGATTTTGTGACATACCCTTTTTATCCCGAATTCCTATAAATTAAGCTATTATAAACACTGGAAAAATACTGAAAAATTACTACGCCTCGTAGTTTTCGAGAAAAAAAAACAAAGTTGACCTATTTTAGAACTAGGAATTTAAAAAAAAATCATCTAGCTCCTCTATTATTCATATTGCTTTAGTTTTGGTTAAAGGTTTATATATAGCTTTGTATTATACATCTTTTCACAAATTTTGAGCCTTCTAAAGCAAACCGTATAGACCATATGACCTTTTTTTTAAATTTTCGATTTTATTTTTTTCTTAAGAATAACGACGTATTCGGATAATATTTATACATGAAAATATTGAAGTTTATTGTCCCTATGTAGAGTATTTTTAATGCAACCGAAAACCTCGTTATGTACGAGTTATAAACAAAAACATTAATTAAACAAAATTCCGGTATTAGGGTTGCCACTTCCGGAACTGAGTATTTAAAAATAAAATGAGTTCCTATAATATATGTTAATAAGCATTCTTTTAACATATATTATATGACCCATTTATTGTCATTGGAGAACAAAGAGAATATAACTTATAGGTATGTAACTAATAAGACTTAAGATAGTTTTTATTACAAAATATTTATGTATTATAAGGATTTACCGACTCAAAATCGGCAGCGTTATTTGTTGTATATTGCATGAACAATCATACAATATTGTGGAGTGACGATGAAAATAATCTTTTTGCTACTGCATTTGTTACGCTGCAGCTCGTGTTAAATGAAAGGGATGTTGTTTGGTCTAATCCAGGTCCACAATCACATAGATACAGACCTATTCATATTCAATATAGGAAGGAGAACAAAGAATTAATTCTAGCAGAATAAGAATTAATTGAAAATCAAATATCTAATTTGCAACTGCAAGGCAAAACCTCACAAGGTCATATTATACCCGTAAGTTGTGAACTGTATTGTGCAGCTATTGACGGAAAAGTCCTTAACATTTTATTAAATACGTCATTCCAAATGCGTTGCCCGTATGATGGCTTAACATAGACCACCTTCAATAACTTGGACATGGCTTTTTCTAAGCCATTTAATCAAGAGCTATTGATTAACGACTTAAGTCCGCTTCATTTTTGGATACGAGTGCTAAAATTTCTCTTACGACTTGGCTATAAAATGGATGGCAAAAAAATGGCGTATCCCATACAATTCAAGATTATGTCAAAGTTGAAGAGCGTAAAAAAAATATTCAAATGAAGTGAGAAAGCAGATGGGTTTACTGGTCGACGTTGTGCGCCCCAATTCGGGTACAACAAATGATGGCAATACAGCACGAATGGCTTTGCCAGACAAGTTCCGCCAAAAATTGTCCCAAATTCTGGGGATCGAACAATGGCTGTTGGATGATCTCCACACATTATGTATTGTTTTGTCTAGCAATCATGCAATTGATTACGACCGGTTTAGGGATTTTTGTAAAAATCTGGCTTATAAGTATGTCGCTACCTATAATTGGTGTCCGATGACCGTAACGTTGCACAAAGTTTTAATTCATGGTGCCGATATTATCAAATCAGCCACTATACCTATAGGGATGCTTTCGGAGCAGGCTACCGTAAGCCGAAATAAATATTGGCGTAACGATAGGGAGCACCATGCCCAAAAAATGAGCCGTGAATTTGTTTAATAGAACGCTGGAAATATCGGACCCTGTTATGACAAGCATTCGAATGCAAGAGAGAAAAAATAATTAAAACTTGACACCATTACCATCTGCAGTAGTTTCTTTATTAAAAGTGACAGATCCAAGTGACGCAGTAGAAGTATTGATTTTGCGAACTACGTCGATTTATAAATACAGAAATAAATGATTCATTGTAAATATTTATTTATGAGAAGTAATTTATATTTCAATTTCATAATTAAATTTTTTAGCTCATAACTTCTACATAACGCGGTATTCGGTTGCAAAAAAAATACTGTATAATAGGGATATTTGGGATACAACAAAGCTCGATATTTTAGTGAATAAAATGCATCCGAATACGCCGTTATACTAAAGAAAAATATATAAATGAAAACTTAAAAAATAAAACATTTCGTCTATACGATTTGCTTTAGAAGGCTCAAATACAAACAAAGCCACATAACATACATTTAATCAAAACAATAAAACATGTTGAATAGAAGAGTAACATTGTTTTTTTGAAAATTCCGGATCGAAAAAAGGGTTAACTAATTTTTTTTTTCTCGAAAACGTATCGTAGAATTTTTCCAGCATTTTTTCAGTGCTTTTAATAGCTTAATCTATAGAAATTTGGGATAAAAAGGGCATGTCACAAAATCGAGGTTCTTAAAACACTGTGCGTCGGGGATTGATAAAAAAAATTAAAAAATAATGATTTGACAGACCACCCAATAACGTAAGGTTTTTCAAAATGTCTCTTATTTAAGAGTGCTATTTAAATTCTTACCTCTAAACCTTTCTTTTCATGATCTTTAACAATAAACTTTTTCATCAATGGTGGCATTTCAATTGTTCTAGGTAAGACTACTTCAGAGAAAGAATGTTCTTCTGTAACTGAAGCCAGAAGCTTGGATTCCTCATTTTTAGGGATAAGTCTATAGTCGGGTTTGTATGATGTTCGGTATATTTCAGTAACATTTGGTAATTTCTTGCCTCTAAAAGTCTTTTCAACCCAGACTCGAACTCTTCGCCTTTCCTGGAATTATTACAATAATGAATAGTCAAATTATATTTTATTAATGCATAGAAAACACCTCAGAGGCGTGCAAGATTTTCTTTAGATATATAAACCAAGCAGTTTTATGCTCAAAGATAATGAAGTAAAACTTAATTCAAAGATTGTATGTAGTCTCAGTAGCATGAGCACCATAATTTTTATTATATCACGTTTTTTATTGCATGTAACTGTCAAACTCCATTGTAATTTGACAATTGAGGTTGTTAAAAGCGAGTTATAAATCATATCGTGTTACTCATGTTAGAGGGGCAGATATATGTGTCGTAGGATGATTTTATGAAGCAATGAAAAACGTGGATAAATAGACACTGTCATTGCCATTGTCTAACGACCTGTGCTGCAATAAGCCGGAGCACAGAGAAGACCTCCGCTCCGCATGCAGTTTTATGTCATTTGCTAGAACAGCACTGCGCCGGAGACCCGCCACAAGCAGTACTGCTCTTTGAATAATATAAAAAAGCAAAATTCCTAGACTTATCAAGAAAATTAGATTTATCAAATCATCCTACAACATATTTAAAGATTTGTGCCTCAATTGTTTTTATTCTATCATAATTATGATGTTAAGTAATAAATCTATTTATAAAATAAATCTAAATTATTATATACAATACATAATAATTTAGTTATATACTATATCGCGGATTTCATGCATCAGGGGCGTAACAAATCTTTACAGGACAACCAAAAAACTATATATCTTTTGTTCTCAGTTACAGATTTCAAGTATTTCTATAAATTATACATTCCAAAACAAAGCATAAAAGAGTGGAATGAAGTAAATTCTTTATATAATAAAAAAAAAGGTAGTTTTGGTACTTACGCCTCTATTATATTAAAAATTTGCTAGATTTCTTAGGCCAAAATGTATTATAATTACTATATTTTTCATTGTATCTATTAGAAATCATGGTTTTATAATATAATGCCGAATCTTCAGGTTAAATATGAGCCAAAGCTCAATGTTGGCCAAAATTCAGTTTAATTTAGCGTAATTGTGCTCAATGAATAAAATGTTGCTTTGCTACAGTCAAAAATACTAGAAGTCAAAGTTTCAAGATAAATGGTATATTCCCCTTTTGATAGATAATATTAAAACGACCCAATATGTTTTTCTTGTCTAGGGAAATAAAAACAAACACAAACTTATTTAAAAATACATTACTTTTCACATTTCACCGCTGGAACCTTACTCACCAGCTGAACACAACACAACCAAAAGGTAGTGTTATTTTACATCTTCCATAAGTGGTAAAGATCAAATAGTAATATAATCCTACTAATATAATAAATGTAAGTTTCTATGTTTGTTAACTACTGAATGGATTTGGGTGAAATTTGGTACAAATATAAAGTTAACACAGACAACATCCCAGGCGGTCTAGTTCTATTATAATTAAACAGTTATAATAATACATACCAATTAAATCATCACAAAGATTTTAATATGACAAAGTACACCTAAAATAGTACAAATCTAAGAAATAGTCTTACTTCTACATCCACAAAAGGAATCCAAAAATTACCCTACAATACTTGAAGCTACATTGGGTTGTTTTGCAAAAATACGTGACATTAATTTACTTACTTCATCCGGACATGTTTCCACTTTCACAATTTTCATAAAACTAGGTTCTGGATATCGCTCAAACACTGAACGTACTATCAATCTGCCAATACCTAAATTCTTCAAGCTTCCAACTATTTCCCACAGAGTTTTACCTTTGAAGTGTGTTGTTCTTCCAACATATTTTATGACTTTTGTCGTCATATTAATTAACTCTAATTAATGAAAGTTGTTGATTTTGTACCAAATCACAAAACAACATAAAAAAATGATTTTTAAAGAAACTGTTAAAGGTTAGGTGTCAGTATCAGTGTTGCCAACTCGGATTTTTAAAGGGAGCTAGATCATATCTAAAAAAAAGCTAATAAAGAGCTAGATTTTTTTAGAAAAAAGAGCTAAATTATTTTTATGTACTATTTATTAAGAATCAATGTGAACAAACTTTTGTAATGGATTCGGGACCACTTTTCTTTATTTCGGCTAATGTTAGAAACGTTATTTTTCTGTAATACTGCACTACGATACCGAGCAGTTTAGTAATACTGATATCAGTCTCATCCAATAGCAAACTGAATGGTCCATCGCCTATATCTCTTTTTAATTAGGTTATAAAATGCTGACTTAGAACATTCTTTATGATAGCACTACATTTTGTTCTGTGTGATTTTAAGTTTTCGGCATCTTTGAATGATCCTTCAGAGGAATTTGCCCAATATCAATTTTCGGTCATGAAGAAAAAACTTAATTTTGATTGTCCCGCTGAAAATGGTTGCGCCGCTCAAGGTGTTTTTTCTTTTTAAATGATTTAATAAATATTTTTTTTTAAGAATTAACTTCGCATTTGAAGTAGGTACAAAACGCTTTGGTTGGGTCTGTTTTTACTGCTTGAAGCCAACCTTGAAATTCTGATTCAGGGGGCCATTCGCCTAACTGGATTGCTTTGAAAAACGCTATCGCTTACGATTTTATTTTGTTATTTCTGACGCCCAAAGTTTTCAAATACCTCATGCTCATTTTCTTTAATATTGTTATTAACAATGCATAAGAAAAAAAAGAGCGCGAGGCATGTGAAAACCTCAGATGGCTAGAAATAACAAAATGAAATCATAAGCGATAGCGTTTTCCAAAGCAATTCGGTTAGGTAATTGGCCCACAGGTAGCCATTCTTGCCTGAATTTCTATGTATAGGGGTGCTTACTTTGCGCCAGTTTACGAAATAATACCTAACAAATGTCCCGAACTTAACATTGCGTAGGTAATAACAATACTACTTTTACAGCAGCCGAAACGTTTAGAAAATTATCGGAACATACCCAACCATAAACAACGGCGCCATCATAGAATAACTATAGACCAACCATAAACAATGTAGGTACATTTTAACTATGGAAACAAATATTTTGAGCTATAAATAATACAAAAGGATTTATTCATAGTGTAAATAGAAAAAAAGCTAAAATTGTAGAAAAGTAGAGCTAAAGAGCTAGAGCTACTTTTTTAGAGCTAACCGAGCTCATTTAGAGCCGGTGTTGGCAACACTGGTCAGTATTGCCAAAGGAGTAAATATAAAAACGCGGGAGAGTGGGTACAAAAACGAGGATTTTTATACAAAAAAAGGTTCACATTATTATTTCAACGGTGTATATACCGTGGATTTTAATTTACCTGAGAAACTAAAAAATCCGGGACCTAAATAAAAACAGTGGGAACGGTTTTAAACAGTAAACATACTAAACAAAAATATCGTTTACTAAATAGCCTTAAAACGTGTAAAATAAATATCTAAAGGCAGAAATATATTACACGTGTCGTGTCGTGACGCGACAGAAACACATCGGTTTCATACAGTTACTACGGTTAGAGACATATTTGTATTCACAGACCAATAAGAGAACAAGTTTTGTGTTGTATTGTATTGTAGTGTTTGTATGTGTTTGTATACAAGTGTTTGTATTGTAGAGCGTGTCGTGTCGCCGCGACACGACACGTACATAAGGCCGTATACAGAAAGAAAGCCGAAAGCCGTTCCTACATAAAGGAAGCCGATTAAAGCAGATCAAGCAAAATGTCGGACTCATCGGACGATAATCTGGTTTTGTTAGAAAATGTGTATTTAAAAATGCGAAAAAAATCTATACATCCTATAAATAGAGAAAGGAAACGTTTCGGAGAATACCATAATTTATTTGTAAAAAAATGAAATTTGATGAACAAAGATTTTATACATATACAAGAATGATTCAAGAAACATTTTATTACATTTTGGATTTAGTGAAAAACCGTTTGATGAAAAATTGGTGCAATTGGCTTAAAAAACCAATCCTTCCAGAAGAAAGGCTTGTTGTCACCATTCGGTAAGTACGAAACGAATAATTTTAGCGCTTAGTTAATAAAAGATAAAGCTATTAGATTTATAAAAAGATTATGTCTTAGATTGATTTAATCTAAGGATAATAATTCAAATACAAATTATTTATTATTTGGACTAGCACGTGTCGGCGCTTATCGGCGCCGATCAGCACCGATCGGCGCCGGTGCATAGAAAAAGGATCAGCGCCAATAGGTGCCGATCGGCGCTGATCGGCGCCGATCGGCTTTCGGCTTTCTTTCTGTATACGGCCTTAGGGTGCGGCCAGAGAATCTGAATCTGAGTGCACTCTGGCCGCACCCTAAGGCCGTATACAGAAAGAAAGCCGAAAGCCGATCGGCGCCGAAAGCAGAACTGGTGCTTTTTCACGGCTTCTAGTGGTATATTTTCATTATCTAGCGGGTATATTTTTTTAGTGGTTTTTAACATGAAATCTAGCAACATATTTTAAAGGGAGAAAACCCCTAACTTTCCAAAATTTCATAATGTTCTATGGTTACTCTTATGGTTACAAGGGAATTCCTGCACGCGTTTGTCTGTTAAGGGCTTCCTTCAATCGTTCATTCTGTTTCAGGAATTAGGTTCGCGTTCATTGTGTTGTTAAAAAGTGTAAAAATTTGATTTCTTGTTATCAGAGATGTAATTGTAATTTAGCGGATTTTGGTGGATTTTATTAAATCCAAATTTTTGAAATCTGGCGATATTTCACCTTTGACTTGGCGCCTTAAAAAAATCCAAGGTGGCAACACTGCTGATATGATTCTCTAGAAAAAGGAGGAGTGTCTGTAGACATGGGCGTTTTTGGTTTTGAACGCAAACGGATATTTATCGGATTTCAGATTTCAAAATCGATTTTAAAATCCGTTTTTAGATATCCGATTTCAGATGTGCCGAACTAAGCCAATTCACTAGTTTGTGATATGATTTGGTTTTATTAGCTAACGACAATCACAAACAATTAATTGTACGAAGCAAGGATACTCGTAGATTTGCGCGATTTTCCTTTATGCTATAAATCTAGGCTTAGGCAAGAGTATATATTCTGTGGCTTAGGACTAGCAGAAAAGTTATCTTTACGGATAAGAGTAAAACTTTTGCGGCGCATTTAAAAATCGGCTTATGTTAAATGATTTCTTTTTACATATTTTTTTAGTATTTTTTTTTGGTTTTTCTGTTTGTTTTTATTATTTTTCAAACCATTTACAAAATCAAACCTAATTACTTCAGGTTAGCGTTCAAAAAAATGTCAGTTGCTCGACTTTTGATGTTTTTAGACATCTTTTTTCAGTAATAAATAATCCCGCCTTAGAGAAGAACAATAGATTTCCGTAAACAGCAAACCGAAATCGGACTTCCGAGCACGAAATCTGACTTCCGAAAACGAAAGCACGAATTTCGAATCCGATTTACATTTGGATACTTGTGGACTTGTGGTGGTATTAGATCGCTAGCGTTTTGGTTCGGTTAGATTTCTGAAATCGGATTTTCTTGTTGAGAAATCGTTCGGTATCGATTTGTGTTTGAAATCGGATTTTGGATTCGTTTTGATATATCGGACGCATGCCTAAAATCGTATTCGTCATGTATTTTTTATTTAAGTATTCAATAGTGGTTTTATCCGCTAATAATAAAAAATGGTTGCCTGTAAAGTCGGTTTTACGGGCGAAGATTTTACGTGACAACGTCTTTTTCTCGGTAGAATATTTATTGATATGAATATAATTAAATTGCACAATAGGAACAAGGAATTGAATGAAAATAAGAATTGCACAAATTTTAACTATAGAAATATATTTTGTTTACTAAAACATTGTACATGTAAACTTAAACTTAACACGAGAGACTCATCGTAACGTTACCGAGCGTTACACTTTTTCATAAGTGACTCCCAGCCGCAACCTAATTTAAGACGTTGTCACGTCAAAAAGCGCGGGAAACGTTTAACTTGGTAGACGCGTTTTATGGTGAAAAACTTTATATAATAATTTTTTGATCAGAAGGGTACATTTTGTATATTTTTGTAAATATTAATTATTATTTAATATATTGTGTACAAATTTGGATCATTGGTAAGTCCTCTTACTAATTTTTTACCGTCATGAACGATCCCCCCGATGACCCGGGGGGATTCGTCCCCCCGGCAGGTAATTTTGTCACTGTGCAGTCGGAATCAGGTATGGATACTGATGCATCCACCTCCAATAGGACATTAAAGCGGAGTCGCCGCTCAAATATTATTTGCAAACACTGCAACAAAAAAAGAAGGAGACATGGTAACTCTGAAGCTAAAATAAATGGTTGTTTATGTACATCTGAATCAGATTTTACTCCTCCGCCAGTTCCATTACCCATGCCAGAGTCTTCAAATCCCACTACAAATATAACTGCTAATATTTTATTTATTTATTTATTTTATTTAATTCTTAATGCACAATTGTCCAATGGCGGACTTAATGCCGTAGGCATTCTCTACCAGTCAACCATAGGGTGTTGTGGAGAAGATTAGTGGTAGGGTGCACATGTGAGGTGGAAATCACATTTAAACATAAATATTATAATAATATATAATAATTAAATTACACAGTAATTATATAGAATTACATACATATATATATATATATATATATATACATATATAAACATACACATACGTAAACATATAATAAAATAACACTACATAAAATTAATACATAATAATGACGACTAACTACTAAACGAAATTGTCTGTTCCAGTAAAAAGCTTCGCAGCTTGGTTTTAAAGCTATATTTGCTGGTGGACATCCTAATGGCTAACGGGAGTTCATTCCACAAATGAATTGTTTTGATGAAGAAGGAAGAGTGAATGATATCAGAGCGGTGAGAGGGAACGACAAGTAAACGATTAGAAGAAGATCGAAGGTTTTTAGGATGAGAGGTACATAAGTACTGAAATTGAGAAGTGAGATAAGGGGGGGG